CACATCAAATACCTTGGCATCACCATTGATAACAAATTAACATTTACAACACATATAGAGAATACAATAGCCAAAGCCACCGGCTACATAAACAATATAAGGAAAATCCTTCCAAACGTACATGGTCCTTCAGAACACGTAAGACGACTATATACACATACATTTAATTCAATAGTTCTGTATGGTGCTCCTGTATGGGCCAAGACAGTATTAGAAGATAAAAAAATACAAAAAAGCCTTTTAATCTTACAAAAGAAAATGGCTAATCGTATAGCATGCTGCTACAGAACAGTAGCACTAAACACTGTATTACTACTATCAAGATGTGCCCCCATGAACGTTCAAATAGAAGTCACTGCCGAGCTATTTTTTGCGATCGAGAAACTTAAAAAACGTCAATTTATACCAACTGACTTAAAGAGGCTTAAAAACGAAAGAAACCCGTTAATATTGAGAAAATGGAAAGAAAAAATATCTGAAGCTCCCATACCTATAAACTCCATCACCCATGCTATCTATAATAATTATGACAAATGGATGAATCGTGAACACTGTCGTCTAAATTACACACTGTCACAAGTTTTAACTGGCCACGGCTGCTTCGGCAAATATTTATACCGTATACAAAAGGAACAATCACCTGCCTGTCACCACTGCGAGTCTGCAATGGATGACAATTTACATACAATGCTATTTTGTCCTGCATGGTCAGATATTAGGCCTCCTATCTTATCTATGGCAAACACGTCGTCAACGATCGACGACATACTTACTATCATGTTGTCTTACACGGACGCGTGGCAAACCATACTTACCTTTGCTCTTAGCGTGATTTCACGAAAGGAGCACGATGAGAGACAAAGAGAGCAATTCCGCATACGACGACAATAAACCGTAATATATTGAGAATTAGATTAAACTATGTATTTACAAGTAAAACAACTAATCGTTATCAGTACAGAATAATCCGAAGTTTTCACTGATAAGTTCACTGTTAATTATAGATATGTTCTATGCAACTTATTCAACTTATTTATTCATTCGATATATACCTCTAGTGATATACGATCTTGACATGTTACATGTTATTTATTGAGATGATTACATGTTATTTATTAAATATGTACTATACCGTACTTTTACTTTACTTACGTTCCTTAAATCTTATTTTACCTGTCATTTTATTATACCCTACCTTTACATGTTTCTTATTTATTTGATATGTTTTATGTTATTTATTTGATATGTTTTATGTTATTTATTTGA